GAGATAAGTCCCACTGTCTCTAACCTGGGTGGCCCCAGTCTGTCCAGTCTCATGTGACCTCAGAAGCTAAGCAGGGTCGGCCCTGGTTAGTCCTTGGATGGGAGACTACCAAGGAAGTCCAGGGTGGCTACGCAGAGGCAGGCAATGGCAGAACCACCCCCTGAACATCTCTTGCCTTGAAAACCGTATGGGGGTTGCCATAAGTCGGCTGACTTGACAGCACTTTCCCACCACCAAAATAGCCCAGACCTGGATCATAGAATCACAGAGTTGGAAGGGACCATTTTTGTTGTTGTTGTTCAGTCGCACAGTCGAGTCCGACTCTTCGCGACCCCATGGATCACATCATGCCAGGCCCTCCTGTCCTCCGCCATCCTCTAGAGTCTGCTTAACTTCATGTTTGTTAGACCATCTAATCTAACCCCCCCTGCTCAATGCAGGTGTTTGTGTAGATGCCAGCTCAATTTATTGTAATTAGCCGTTGGCCGGTACAAGATTACAAAACTCTCAACAATTAAAAAATACAGATTATGAACCAGGTATAGGCTAATGTCAGGAGCTGCGGTGGCTCAAGTGGTTAAGACGCTGAACTGCAGGCTGTGGAAGGTCAGTCGTTCAGCAGTTCGAGATCCGAGTGCACCGCATGATGGAGAGAGCTCCTGTCTCTAGTTCCAGCTCCTGCCAACCTAGCAGTTTGAAAGCAAGACATTGCAAGTAGATAAATAGGTACCGCTTCAGTAGGAAGGTAACAGTGTTCCGTGCGCCTTGGTGTTTAGTCATGCCGGCCACATGACCATGGAAACGTCTTCGGACAGCGCTGGCTCTTCGGCTTTGAAACGGAGATGAGCGCCGCAACCCTAGAGTTGGATTCGACTGGCTTTCGAGCAAGGGAACCTTTACCTTTACCTTATAGGCTAATGTCAGAATATACAAAAGTACCGAAAGTCAATGACAAAATGTGACTAATTTGATACAGTAACCTAGACAATCCCCCTTCCCGTTGCCACCTTGGAACGTATATTCTTTGCAGCAAGGGGCAAATAACGAAACTTTGGAAGAAACATCGGCATCAATGTCAGATAACAAAAATGAGTTTGGATCCTCAACTGGGTATACACGACGACCAAATAAAATACCTGCTGAAAATTTAGCCCTCGGACTGGAGTACAGTGGGCAAAAGAGGATCTAATGAGTTAAGTCCCCGAGTACATGGGTGCCACAAAATAACACAGACAATGGGCCAATGGAGTTTGATTAAAGCAGCCCTCCAAAATTGCTGTTGGCATGGATTGAAACCGTAGGGAAGTAGGGGATGCACTGAGTACATATTTGGAGATGTTGACTAGATATGGAATTCTAGCATGGTCCGATTTAATTCATTTGTACTATCTAATCTAACCTAGAATCAGCCCAGAGCACCCCTGACAAGTGTTTGTCCAGCCACTGCTTAAAGACTGCCAGGGAGGGGGAGCTCACCACCTCCCAGGACCAGGCTTGCCTGATATCATTAGATTTTGGATACTAAGCAGAGTCGGCCCTGGTTCATACTTGAATAGGAGACCATCAAGGAAGTCCAGGGTAGCTTCGCAGAGGCAGGCAATGGCCAACCACCTCTGAACATTTCTTGCCTTGAAAACCCCAAGGGGGTTGCCATGGGTTTGCTGTGACTTGATGACACATTCCACCACCACCACCAAGTCTCACTCTGTTTAATATCCTAGCATAACACAAATAATGTGCTCGTCATAGCAGCTTACAGAAGAAGAAGAAGAGGAGGAGGAGGAGGAGGAGGAG